AAAGATTTTATTCATGACGAAGTCCTTATGCTATCACTTTTCCTTTTTTCATTTGTCTGGAGTTATTAGTCATTAACATTTAACTAATGTCTTTAATGACTATTACACTTTCAACTGCTTATTTTTAACAGAACGGTGCCTACACGGTTAAAATATACGACATTCAGATACTGAGTCTTGGGTTCGAACCACGCCCCACTTGATTAATACGGAGTACCACCAGTCCTCCCATTCATACTATGGCTTAGAGGCATGTAACGGATCGGTACTTCATAGGAAAGTTAAATTAGTTGACGATTCTGTTTATCCTATTTAAATTCGTTTATGTTACTGAACCCTAGATTTATTTGTGATAAAACTCTGGCTATTATATAAGTTTAAAGTAGCATAATTTAAATCGAAAAAAAGCTAAATAAGATTAAACGGTCTCTGAATTGGAAACTGGTTATTCATATTCCATGTATTTAACGTCTTTGTCAGCTTAAAAAAATGTGACAAAAATAGAATTTTTCGAATAAAACGAGTGTGCTTAGCTTTTTTTCATGAAACGTTAACTATACGATGTTGACTGACGAAATAAAAATCTCTAGGTAAAAAGGAATATTTACAATTGTTGTCCACTACCAATATATGTGGTCGAGATTCAACTGTATATCGATATCGGTACATCTATTTCATGGACAAACGATGATCAGCTCAGTATAGCAAATCACGAGTTCGTGTAGTTTAGGATGATCGTTTGATTTATATTAAAGTAGATTAAAAATAGTCTGAACTCTTTAGAAAAAAACTGATCATATTTAGGGTTGAAGTAGTTTTCTGTGAGATAAATAGTCCAGTACGAGGCTAAAAGTCTAATATGGCTTGGTCAAACCACAGTATGTGGTTTATTTTATATCGTTAGTTAAGTCTTGAATTCATTGGTATTGTACAGCATTTATTATCCAGGGTCATGGATAGTGTAAAACTCCTATTGATTGTCATCGATAATTTGTATTTATCCATAGTTTTCACTAGAGTATATCAAATAGCTCTTATTCTGTTTTTCTTGAAGTTGGTAAGTGACCACATGGTGACCTCAAAAAGCATTTGTTGAAATTTAGAAATTTCGCTTCATCACACCTAAGCTTGATATATTGAGCCGATTAGACATAAGGTGAAAGGTAAATGTGGAAATGTGGTTTTATTTCCTAAGAAAGAAAGACGCATATTATTGAATGATTGCAAACAAATTTCCAATTCGGTTTTCGTCAACAAAGCTTATTTCTCACTTAAGTAGTTGGTTAGGTTAACGTATAGGTAACTTTTATACCAGTATGTGAATCGGACGATCGCGCAACACACCAAAACCATATATTATTCGGCCTGCAAAGGAAACCTTAGTAAGATTTCCTATAACTATATAATTTGCACATTAAACCGCAAATCTTATGAATATTTGTCTGATATTATATGTATTCATATAATATCAGTCTAACTGAATAACTGATCAGATCTGAACTAGAAGCTGGAACACGACCACGTGACCAGCCGAGATCCCAGAGAGTACGAAGAAGAACAGTAACCTTTAGAATAGACTCCATGGAAACCTATTCTTACACATTCCATTAAAAAAGAAGAGGAGGTGATATGACAGGATGAAAAGGCAAAACTACATTCTTTTATTCATTGTTCAACATTACTTCCGTATATTTAATTCAATATGATAATTACTCAGTGAAAATTAGAACAACACATGTAAGCAAACAATTGTTTTCAATTAGATCGTCGTCAGGCTTTGCTCTAATATACATGAATATTTATACAAAAATGTTAGACCAATCAAGGCAATTTTGGTCGATAATATACTTACTTCAACAGTTTTACACCTATCCGTTACAAGAGAAATTTGGTTAGATGTCTCACTAGCGGAGCAAAAAAGATCTGTTCAGTAGATACTTTAAGTCGAGAGCTGGAATTTATCAACAACTCACCGACAGAGATCGAAGCAAGAAGAATATTTTCTTCTTTTGGAAAAAGCGGAGAGGTGGTCAGTGTATGACATGGTGTCGTGGTATGAAAGAAAGCTGCAAAGGGCCGGCTTCTGTTGGTCGTTCACGACTCCCTGGTTGGGGTCCGAGAGATGGTGCAACACAGTGGCTAGAGACGTTATCAGATATGGCTCAGAATAGAAGCCAGTGGCGATCCTGCTGTAACCTTTTACTTTCTTCATAAAAAGTGGTTGCTTAATACTTAACCAAAAGATTTTTTCTGATTGTACCTTTTCGTTTCCCCCATTATTATTATTACGCCACCTTATCCTGTTCGTTATTGTTCTTTTTTTTCTACGCCCCTCACCTTTTTTCCTTCTCCTCTTCAAATTCTCATTGTTTTGTGTGGCGCATATATATTTGGTGCCCTTTTGTACCAATATTTATGTGTTCAAATAAATAAATAAATAAACCGAGATCGGTTACCCCAGTGTGTTCATAAAGAAGTACTTGTATAATATAAAAAAAGTCGGAGATTTCGACTGTTCTAAAGAAGCCTTTATACATTAAACTACAATTCAACGGGGATGTGGCTAGCGATACTCTGGAAGATAGGTTCACGAAAGCAATTAGCAGGACTTTCTACACAGCCAATCTTGCGTTGACTTTCTCGAGTCGACCAGCGATGTTCACACAAACGAAGGATAAGTTACCTGAGTTTTGAATAATTTTTTCTGGTTAGCGTTTTTTTTTAGCGAGTTAGTTTTCTACGGGATGGGGTCGCTAACCCCATGCCCGACCCTCCTCCTTTATCCGGACTTGGGATCGGCAGTAGCCCCTGGAGAGACTCCAGGCGGAGTTGGCCTCCTCAATGTGCATTTGCAAATTTAGCTGCCCTTATGGAGATAGCTATATCGGGCGTACTACCAGGCAACTTGACCAACGAATGAGTGAACATCTACCATCATTTCCCAACGGAGTTCGTTCCCGTCTCCTACATATAGCTGAAGCCACAGGAATTCGTAAATTTAACCCCAATTTATGTGTACAGAAGAAATTCGTGATCCCCTATCCGTTCTATGGCTGGATATAACTTAACAAATGACTTAATTTTTTTATCATTAGCATTATTTTCACATCCGGTATTTGTTTGCAATTTTCCGCCTCTTTCCATTTGTATTATTCACTACCTAATTATTTACACACTTCTTATTATGTAATGGTTTTAATGTTTTGTGATGATTAGTTTAAGTCTATTTACCCACATTTGACCTTCTATTTCCAACGTCTAACTATTGACAAGACTTTTCTTATCATATTTTATTATTCTTACTACTATCAGTACACCTGTCTTCCTACTATCAACTTGTACTTTTTATTTATTATGTGCAGTGAGGTATTCTATTTCGTTGTGATTATTGACCCGAATTGCCATGATTGATTTAACATTTTCGTATAAATATTCATGTATATTAGAGCAAAAGCCTGATGACAATTGTTCGCTTATATATGTGTTGTTCTACACTGAATAATGATGAGTCGTTACTTGAGTGTGATGTTTGTTCAAGTTACAATATTTTTGTATTAAATTACCATGATATACAGCGTGTGATTTGTTATAACTCACGGTATTGATCATATATGTGATTTCATTCTGATTAATAATCAAAATGGGTATAAAATCAATATATGAACGAGTGTAGTTTCGAATTGGGTCGTTGTCATTGTGTTTTGGGTTTAATAAATCTTCACTTACATCAGTCTTGTTATGGAAATTACGGTAATTCTTTGTTTCACAAATATAAGTAATAGACGATTTCAACAATAACAATTAGTGACTAAGTTATAACATAACTAATCTGAACATTTAGGTTCTTTCTATTAAATCGTTGTAAGAACATAAAACATGATCTTAGCTACTGATTTGTCTTGGTCTTCCCACGTTTTATCGTCATCGAAGAAGATTTTCCGTCTGACCTACTACATAAAGAGATTGCATGCTCTTGGAATTACTCGTCATTTACTCTTACAATTTGTCAATTCTTTCATATTACCTATTATTCTTTACTGTTCTCCATTATTCTTTCCCGGGCTTTTGAGAAAAGACTTTGCTGTATTGCGAAGAGTGCTGAAGGCAGTTCGCAAGGTGTGTGGTGAATCTTTCGAGGTCATAATTAATGTGGTTGTGGATAGACATTTAAAATCATGCAAACTCCTGGCAGGTGTCATTTTATCAGATACTAGCCATCCCCTTCACTCTTATCTTTCTCCTTGTATATCTTCTGGTAGAACGAGACGTAATTACATTAAAATCCATGCACGCAAGGAAAAGTATAAAAGTTCTATAGTACTTTACCTAGCAAATATACTCTGTGACGAACAGGTTGTTAGAATTAACCTAGTCAATAACTTACATTCTTAACATGTCTTTAATTTTAAAAAGTTTGTACAGTTTTTTTTGGTTTTTTTTTATTTTATTTTTTTTAAAAACCTTTTTTTATTTCTTTTTGTATTTGCTACTGCCTTTTTGTTCGTTGTTCAGTAAGTAACTTGTTGAAATACTCTGTGCTGAGAATTCTATATTGTACCAAAAAGATAATATTGAATAAGGCCATTAATAATAATAATAATAATAATAATAAAATAGGAAAACAATCTAATGTGCAAGTTAGTTTTATATTGGCATTTATATCACTATTGAAAAGCTTGAATCATTCATGATGATTCTTCTACATTAAATCAATCATTTTAACAAATATCCTTGATTCAATAGAAATATTTTTATCTCTTTATGGGTTGTGGAGATTGTTAAGTTTTTGATTGAGATCATGAATCGATTGATGTTAGACCAGTGCTTTCAGGTTTTCAATGGTGATCTAACATCAATCGGTTCATGATCTCAATTAAAAAGAAATATTTTCTCTTATTCTTTTGTAAATGTGACATTCACAATTTTTATACGAACTAATTTTTCTATTTGTTTGTTTGTTTCTTCTGCTTCGATAAAAAAAAAATGATCAAAATTGATAGTTTACTACTGAAATTGATGGAAGTAATGGTAAATTAACATTATGGCAATTTTTATTAGAATTATTATTATCAAATAAATATGAACATATTATAAGATGGACAAATAAACGTGGTGAATTTATATTAGTACAAGCTGAAATTGTTGCAAAATTATGGGGTATGCGTAAAGATAAAAATCATCGTATGAATTATGATAAATTAAGTCGTGCATTAAGATATTATTATCAAAAAAATATTATACGTAAAGTACATGGACGTAAATTTGTTTATCAATTTATAGGATTAAAAAATTTAATTAAATTTTGTTGTACATCAATGAATTCAACACCAATAACAACATCAGTGACAACATCAATAATAACACCAACAATAGTGACTTCAACATTACAACAAACATTGACACCATTGAACAATTTACCAACACATTCAAAAATCGATGATATTGATTTACCAGTAACATCTTCATTATATCATACTGCTAGTAAATTAAATGAATTATATAATCATAATGAAAAACAACATCAAGATTGGTTTTATACACCTTCTCATAATACTAAATTTTATGAAAATCAACGTGATTGTAAACATACTACTACTAGTAATACTATTAATAATATTCTAAATACTATTACGAATGTGAATAACTGTACTTTAACATCTACACAAACTGAAAAATCTCCAAATTTGAACTGTTCAACTAATAATTTAACATATTTTCCTAATAATTTGGATATAACAACAATTACAACATTTATCAATTCATATTTGAATAAGAACAACTACGAAACGAATACCATTACAAATAATAATAATAATAATAATAATAATAATAATAATAATAATAATAATAACAATAATAATAATGACAATAATATCCTGCTAAATCATGTTGGTGAATCAATATCAACCTTGTCTGATCCGAGCCAGATTAAAGCTTCACATGAGATTAACGACTTAAGTGATTTTATTTCTTCTTGGGTATCTATGATGTCACAAAGTAATTATTTTAATAACTTTCGGTTAATGGAATGTTTCAAACAATCCGGTAGTTTATTGAACCTGTTTAATTGTCATAATATTGAACAATTCAATGTTGATCAAGAAAAACAAATATATACAACTGATACATGTTGTCGAATAGGACAAAACAATTCAATGTTAAATAAAGAGAAAATTATTACCAATATTACCGATAATCATCAATTGATGAATAATCAAAATATTGATAATTGTCCAGTGAATTTACACGCTAATTATCATCCGGACTTGATGAATAATTATGATTCAGAATTATGGAAAGTTGAAGATTTTACACAGTATGAAAAAGATAATCCAATGAATTTTACTGCTACAAATTTAAAAACATCTGAGAAATTACAATTTAAACAATATTGTAATCAAGATAACAGACCTCGATCACCGTGTTGTGAATGTAGTTGTCATTCACAATTAACCCATGAATCTAATCATCCTCTAATGCAAAGTATACAACACCAAATTAATTCATCTCATCTAACAGACAATAATAATATCATAGAAAAGTTAAGAGATTATTCAACTAAACAATCAATAACTGGAAGTTCTGATGAACTACCAACCAAGTTACATAATAAACGTCATTCAATTAATATGAAACGTTTAGGTGAACAACTGACACGTTTAAATCATTTAAACTCAACAGGAAATCATTCAAATAATAATTTAATGTTTATAAACAAATATTCTCCAGTAAATAATAATAATTTAACAAAATCGAATCTTATGAAAGATGAACAAATTGCTAATCATAATGAAGATATGAATAGGAATGATTATTTTTCTGCTGGTGAATGTAAGATACCACTGACAAAAAATGTAATGTTATCTGATTCGAAAATGGCGTCGAATTTAAATTCTTCAACAGTAAACACCACTTACAACAATAGTAGAACTGATAACACGAGTATGTCATCCTTACCGACGTTATCTATGTCAGAGAATAAATGTGTATGGATGCCCGTACCTGTGACTATGCTGAATTCATGGTTTAATTTACTATCGAACATAAAAGGTCTTAATAACAATTCGTTAAATCAATCGAATTTTATGACATTATCCTCCTTTTCCACTTCCTCCTCCTCATCAACATCATCATCAATGTCGTCAGCATCCTTATCATCAACAGTGAATAACAATTAGACTGTCTTAAATTTCTAAAAATTTAATAATTATTGCATGAAATACATACTATCATTTACATTTCATTTTAGATGATCGTCAAATTTATACACATCCTCGTTGGCTTATACTAATTATTCTAAATACCTTTTGTTATCATAAGTGATATGTGTAAACATTCCACATATGAAAAATAGTTATATAATCATACCTGTACATTAATTTAATTACATTGAAATAATTCACTAACTAAAGTAAACTGACCTCAAAATCTTGAAAAGACAAAATCTAACAACCAATGCATTTGTTTATTTCATTATCTTTTTTTTCTAGTTTTAGTGAAAGAAAAACAGTAAAACAACGCTATTATTTCAGTTTATTTTGTTTAGCCTATAATTTTCTTGCTATTCTAAACGAATATACATTCTTACGAGTGATATTTAAAGTTTGTTTTTCTTATGCCATCTGAGATTCATGTTGATGTGGTAATATACTTATATTATTTGTGATATAGCCCAATTATCATCCAATGATATCATAGAGTTACTTCTTTATTATTGAATTCATGAGTGATCTACGGTTTAAAAGCTTTTCACTTAAATCAATAGAACGTTGGATTATTTATTTCAATACATAGATATTGGTACAACGAGGCACCAAATACATATGCGCCACACAAATCTCATTCGATATGTGTGAGGGCTGTGATACTGCCCGGGTGCCCAAATCGAAGCAGGCGGTTTTCTTAGGGGGCCACACCCCGAGCCTTTGACCTAAAGGTCTAACCCACAAGGCAGTGGAGCATCGTAAGGAGATGCAGCCCCATGGAAGCCGGTGACCGACGATTGGTTCATTCGCCATTTGTTCCCGCAGGATACTGGAGCCCATGTGCACCATTGGTTTGTGATCCGGTTAAAGCGCCGGACATTCGCTTTTCGTCCTCTCATTTTCGTAAACAACACCCCCGCCACGAGAAGGCAGTGGGTAGGACTTCCCTGGTAGAGGCTATATACACGTGGCCATGTGAGAGCATTTCGAGAGGGAGAGCGGACTCTCCCCACTCTCGGCCGTGTTAGGGTATTTGTGGGCAAGTACATTGGATAAAGCGAAGCTATACTGTTTAGCCAATGGTGAACGCGTAAAGCGCTTTTAGGTCACACGTTAGCTTTTTTTTGTCACGGATCGACATCAGCCATAATGTAAGAATCTTAAACTGGATATTCTAAGCCCTAATCCTAGCATAATAAATTAATCATTTATCTTTGCTGTCTCCTGATTGGCAAAAACGGGCAACGATCTCAGGATTACTCTGGCTTTAATTAATGCTGATGATTAGATGAATGGAATGGTACAATCATTGAGTGATAACAGCTCACGAAACCAAATTATTGGTGTAAGTCATTGTGGTGTTTGTATGAACTAATGATTCCTCTGTACACACCTAGTTCTATTTGGTTTAAATTGAGCTATTTCGGGGATTCCTAGTTCGTATAATAATTTAGATACTTTTAATTAAAAGAATAAAGGTTTTCAGGGTTATTGATACGGAAGCCAACTTCTTTGGTAGTTATTGTACAAATAAATTAATAGTACCATATACTGAAAACTATCATTTTTGAACAGGTTGAAATTTATCGGTACGTACTTATGTAATTAGCTTCAAGGCTCACTTTAGTTGAATAAACGTTACCAACACTACTCGTCAACTGACGCGATTAGGACGTTACGTATGCCTAATCACCTCTTACATGGATAGGCGATGTTTCCTGGTGTGGGAGTGAATCGATAAGGTTAGGAGGGACCAAACCAAGACAGGACCAATCCACAAGGTTACTAGTGCTGTTCTGAGTCATGTTGGCAGATAAACACTATATGCTTGCGAACCACACGATAAACAAGATAAGTGGTTAGAGAATTTGAGTGACACGGTTCATAGTGGAGATGCATTAACTTCTTACCTTTCTCCAGATCTTGAGATCGAATATTTACACGTACATACCGTTGCGCTTTGTCTTTTTGTACTCTAAATGATCGCTTATCAGTATCACCACTACCATTATTATTTCGACTCATTTTCTACTTATCTGGTTAAGTATATCTTGATGTGTTGATTTGGTATAGGGACTTGGGTTAACCATCATATGTCCCGAACATCATGTCAATTATGACTATCTATTACACTGATTTGGTTACTTCTACTGTTACTTTTATTTAATGGGATTGACTAATCAATTACAGGTTTGCACATTACGTTTCGAAACTCATTTTGTGTTAAAACCGGCGATGCTACCTGACACTCCAGAGTACGGTAGAGTTCGAAACTGTAGTCGAACAGTTCGTGATCCACGTGCTATGTATGCTCGACCATCACCTACTTTTACAGATGCTGTTGTAGTAGTTTGGAAAAGCGCTGGTGGGACCTAAACCAAAACATAACATCAGTCCGTGAGTTCACTAATTGCTAGTCTGAGTCCTGTTAGAAAGTTCAGACTACCTGGTTAGGGTTTTTAGCGTTATCACCACTAATAGAATTACTTCGACTTTTGTTATTTATCTTGTTAGTTTCACTTCGTTTTGATGATGTGGTATAGAAATTTGGGATAACGCACATTTGTCAGGTTCAATGCTGACAATGACTGGTTGGTAGTATTGTTCTTTATAATAATCAGCGTTCAATGCAAACTATGTACTTGCTTAATAATTTACATTTACGTAAACCATTTATTTAAGGTTTTCACTTCACTACGCACTACGACGCTGAACAACATAGTATATAATAGACAAAAAGTGAGTTAAACATAATCAGTAAGAAATAAGGCCTATAAAAAAATTCATAAAGGATCCACATAAAAACAAAATATTACGACTTTCAAACTATAAAATCTTCGATCTCTCATAGTGTCTCAAAACAATGATTTGAGCCATAGAAGCCGAATAAACAACCTTAAATATAAAATACACAAGTTTTAGCAAAGTCGGGAAATGGGTGGTAGCGGAATACAGGACACGCGCTTCGTTTGATTTGAGGATCGCCGGCTAGATGTACCCACATTCTAGCGTTGATGCTTACGCTGGGACTCAAGTCCAGTACAATTAGACCTAGTTATCCATTGCGTGCGTTATCTACCGAGTATAGATAGATGCGCTTGTGCAACGGGTATGAGTTTTATTTCGTTTTACGTGTTTTTTTCCTATTTATTTATGGGGTTACATACAGAGCACAATGCTGTACAGTATGCTTCTACAAATATTAAGTGGCACAGATTGATAAATATAAACGAGCCTGTTGTTAAAACGAATTTATAAGGTAATCAAGTGACTTTAGTTTTTGTGTAGGTTTGGGTACTAGCTTATGAGTCGCGTTTATGTTAAGTCTAATAACACAGCTTCTTAAACCCTGTCAGGTGGAGAAGGATTAAAGCGTGACACGGAGGTTGTCATCAGTTTTGATTTGTATAGTGCTATCTTGTTAGTATAAAATTGAAAACAAGTAAAAAGAAAAGAAAGTGGACTGATTATATATCTAAAAAATTGGAAGTGATATACATCACAGTGGTTTCTAAAGTTTATTATGTTATCTAATAATCCAACGGTACACCAGTTGCTTTAGATAACTCCTCCAGAGATTTTTGTGCCTGTAGAGCACACAATTCATTGTACTCTTCCAATCTTTTTTCTATAATTGCACGGTCACGTTCGGATATCTTCTTTTCCCTTCTAGTAAGATATTTTAGGCGTAGAGCTCCATAAACAATCCCAGCAGCTAACAATCCCCAACGCGCTGTTCGTATGAGTGGTGATACTTCACGTGGAGCGGGGAGTTTAGTTACATACACGGAGTCTTCCATCTAAAAAATGGACTGAGAATTTAGTATTCAGTTCAAAGAGGAAGCAAAAAGCAGGTGAACGAAACTTTGGAACGAAATTTGGTGTAAATACAAACTGATAGCTTTTATCTCATACATAAAACAATATGAAAATCATATAATACCAAAGTCTGTTGAAAACGTTTAACCCAACTCCATGATAACGGAATGTCTGGTAACAAACCGAAGAAGTGAAATTTAGGCAAATTATGTAACTTGCCTTACAATTTTACCCAACGACAATTAGTCTTTTAGTATTAAGACTACTGATGCAGTTGACATCTTAAGAAAGCTTACAGCAAGTCTATATAGACTAGTGTTGAATTTTAAAACGAATCCCCTAGACAGTTCAATGTTTACTTTTGTACTCCACAAACCGAGTTACGTGCTTGAGTAAAAAACACACTGTAGTACATAAATACTGGTACAATAGGGTGCCTCGAAAAATGCACCACACAAATGAAGCAATAAAAGAGAGACGAATCGCACAGACAACTAAACGAACAGGAGTATAACGATGAGCATTGCTGGTTGGTTGAGAGGCAGATATATTGCAGTTTCTGTCTAAGGGTTTCTGAATATTTCGTCTAGTTATGTATATATATAAGATTATTATATATAAGGCATGGTATTGGATAAAGTTCCCAATTACTCTGATTTTATAAACAATATTTATTTGCATACGGACATAAAAGACAGTTATTAAAACATAGTTCTTTGCGTAGTGACAGAGTCAACGTGTGAGACAACACTCCACGTAAATAACGTACAAAGTGATCCTTAAAAATCACTTGTGGGGCTACTCGTTACATTTATCAGTGGAATAATCTTAGACAACCCAGGTCATCTGATCGATGACTTCGTAATAGAATACAAAGAACGTCGGAAATACTAGTGGCTTATCGCAAACTATCGTGATGCATTCCATGTAAATGGAGCTAGCATATATTTTACTGAATAAATTAGTGTTCGATGGTAGGTTTCATTACTACATTCAAATGTTCTCCTAGACTGCGTATACAGATCTACACCGTTAGGATTTACTACGTAATCTTTACTCCTAACTTCAGAAAACTTTTCAACATCTTGTTTTTTGGTTGCTTCATAATACAAGCATTTAACGAAACGTTTTGTTGACAAACAACACAAATCCATATGCGATATCAGGTCCACTTCCTTACTCACTATAAGAATGGACTGTTGGATGATGACATTTATTATTATGTATTGAAGTCAGAATACGATAAGTAATAGTGAAGACAAATTACACCTAAAATAATACTAGAGTAGATTGTGTGGGTTATTCAAATACTAGTGACTGATGTGTTGGTGTTTGACGGAAATTCAACACGAATCCAGATAGCTCAATTGGCTTTTGCAAAATTGGATCATTTGTGACGTAGGTAAGATACCCATCTGTCGTCTAAAGGACAGGTGCACTACCCAGTTCTCTTCGTTTCACTTTATGGCTGTGAAACTTGGACGCTAAAATTCAGGGAGACTTTTGGTTTGCTAAGAATCGTTTATAGGTGACTTCAGAGCATCGCTCACATATTTTAGGACCATCCAGTTACCGATTTTGTGGTTAAACACAGTAAAAGGTAAAGATGGTCGATCGACCGACAAAGATGTGAAGTTTTATCGGCTGAGACGGTCAGGACATATACTACGTATGTCCACCCGCCAACTACATCGATGGGCGACATTGACTAGAATAGAGAGTTCATTATCTGTGAGAAAAGTAATTTCCATAGACATAGAGATTGACTAGAATAAGAGTAGGTTGGAAAAAAGATAAGGACAGCCAACTCAAGAGATGGCATCAGTCCATGAAGACACTGAATATTGGATTAAATCATGTAGGTAGAGAGGTGCAGGCTACCTGGTTCGAGTCCACCTGATCATAACAAATGGTCAGAGATTAGGTGAAATCCACTCAGAATCGTCTTCAATGACTTAGGTCCATTCACTCTGTCCTCGATTCGATCCTATATTTCTAAATTCCTCGTAATCCTTTTATTTTACTAATTTGTATCTTCTCAAATCGTGTTTGCGATGCTTAATTTTTCCACTACCAGTAGTACTGTTACTGTCTTTACGACTTTAAGATTTGCGTTAGGGTATACATCTAGCAGAGCTAGTGGGGTGTGACAAATTGAACACATACCCACAAGTACTGCGTTTGTCTGACTGAGTAACTAAAAATTAGTACTGATAAGAGCAATAAAATGAGAACCGACCAAAATATTAAGATTATTCCTCAATCAGTCAGGGGACTAATCAATCCGCAAACATACCAGAAATACTTTAAATTTATGACTTGAAGCGTCACGAGATAATAAGTTGCAATTACGGTTACTTTCTCAAAAGGTTTTCACATCAGCGGTTAGGGTATGTAGAAGTTGCAGGCTTCACTTACCATATACCTTATTTAGGATGCTGGCTTAGAAACATACGCCGAACACATATGTTCGGAGTATAGAATGTAAGAACACATCCGATTGGCATACATCATTGGTTAGTAGTATCTCTATGCTCTTCTCCAGATGAAGAATGCAAATTGCTGATATTAGGACAAGAGAATTCATCACGCGTAGTGAATCCTTTGGGGGGAAACTACCAATTTTCTTACGACTTTGTGGAAAAACCCCAAAATAGGGAGGTTTTAGAGTGAAGCATAGATACCGCTTGTTTTACAATTTGTAACCCACGTATACAACTGTCTGGCTAAGAATGAGCGTGAGAAAAGCTTTGTTTGTTTTAAAAAATAGACTTCCTAAGTAACAACATGACCTATAACTTGAGTTTTTCTGTATTTAACTTGGAAACATATGTCCTTCGCATTGGTATTTTAATGGTCGTTTTAAGCGACTACTCAATGAGAACAATAAAGCTTGGTGTGTTATTAATTATATTCATTTGCTAACTTGATTCCAATTGTTGTCGAATAGATTATGAAGCTAGTACTACATTTACAATTAATGAGTATTTATTGTAAATAAGTCAGAGAGACTTTACAAAATATGGGAACTGACTTCAGTCTACTTCCTATAAACTGGTTTAGAGTTTAGCAGAACTGGAGACAGTCTACTCTCTAAATACAGGAGTGCTGACCTTGGCGCGTTGAAGTTTCGAATCAATCAGCCCTTGAAATAGTTCACGAAACCTAAGCAGGTACAAATGGTCTCTGCATCAGAAGTAGTGAGACGCTTGACATTTAATATAAAGTTGAAGAGTTTCGCACATTCTAATTGAAGAAAAAAAATATCACTCAAAATAGCGATGTTCATGGTTCAGTTGGACAGTTATATCGGGTGTAGCGATAAATAAATTCCCAAAATCAATAACTCTGTAAATCATCTATATTTGATGCTGGTCACATTATTTTTAACTCAGCCTGGAGCTTCTCTGGGGCTACTGCCGGTCCCAAGCGCGGATAAAGGAGGGTTGGGCAAGGGTGTTGGCGACCCCATCCCGTAGAAAACTAACTCGCTAAAAAACAGCGCTAACCGGAAAAAATAATTCAACCCATTTGTAGTCTGTTCTAGGAGCTAGAAATCCTTCACTTAGAAGAGTTATTACGCCTCATAGTGAAAGCCATGTTCCTTCGGTAGTCACGAGGCTGATGTGAAGACATCATGAGACGACATGGACTGGTGGAAAGGAACGAAAATGGTGGCTGTATATTCCTACAAAAGCGCATACACAAAGTCACACGAACTTCACCGTCTCACACTACACAGGACCAAATCGACCAAATCGGCATCAATAAAAGTTCAGAAGGACAATGGAGGATGTGTGAACCAAGAGAGGAGCTGATATAGCATCAGATCATCACTTGCTGGTCGCCAAGATCAAACTGAAACTCAAGAAGCACTGGACAACGGGGAGGACAATATCACAAATGTTCAATACAGCCTTTCTTCGGGATACTGACAAACTCAGCGAATTCAAGATAGACCTCAGCAACAAGTTCCAGGCCTTTCATGATCCGTTCAACGGAGAAGGAACAACTATGGAGAGCAACTGGGAGGAGATGAAAGAAACAATAACTTCAACATATCACGAGGTTCTGTGCCACAAGAAGCACCATCACAAGGAATGGATCACTGTTGATGCACTGGATAAGATTCAAGAAAGGAGGAACAAGAAAGCAGCAATCAATACCAAACGAATAAGAGCAGAGAGAGCCAAGGCACAAGCTGAATACGCAGAAGTAAACAAGCAAGTGATGGGAAGCATCAGAGCCGTCAAACGTAAAAATTTGAAGAGATGAGCACGAATATCAGACAAATCAAAAGCGGCAAAGCAGCGGGACCAGACAAAATTCCAGCAGGGGCACTGAATGCAGACGTATCAGTAACTGCAAAGACACTCCACATTCTCTTCAGGAAGATTTAGGAAGAAGGACTAGTACCAACAGACTGGATTCATCACTCTACATCAACTTCACCGACTACGAAAATGTATTTGATAGCGTGGACAGAACAACACTATGGAAACTTCTTCGACACTACGGCGTGCCTCAGAAGATAGTCAATATCATACAGAATTCATATGATGGATTACACTGCAAAATAGTGTATGGAGGACAGTTGACAAAGTCGTTTGAAGTAAAGACTGGTGTCAGGCAAGGTTGCTTACTCTCACTCTTTCTCTTTCTCCTGGTGATCGACTGGACCGTGAAGACGTCAACGTCTGAAGGGAAACACGGGATACAATGGACATCTACGATGCAGTTGGACGATCTAGACTTCACAGATGATCTGGCCCTTCTATCCCAAACGCAACAACAAATGCAGGAGAAGACGACCAGTGTAGCAGCAGCCTCAGCAGCAGTAGGTCTCAATACACACAAAGGGAAAAGCAAGATTCTCCGATACAACACAGCATGCACCAATCCAATCACAATTGACGGAGAAGATTTGGAAGATGTAAAAACCTTTACATATGTGAGCAGCACCATTGATGAACACGGCGGGTCTGATGCAGATGTGAAGGCGCAGATCGGAAAAGCGAGAGCAGCATATTTACAACTGAGGAACATCTGGAACTCAAAGCAACTGTCAACCAACACCAAGGTCAGGATTTTCAACACAAATGTCAAGACAGTTCTACTGTATGAAGCGGAAACCTGGAGAACTACGAAAGCCATCATCCAGCAGATACAGGTGTTTATTAACAGTTGTCTACGCAAAATACTTCAGATCCGTTGGCCAGACACTATTAGCAACAACGTACTGTGGGAGAGGACAAACCAGATCCCAGCGGAGGAAGGAATCAGGAAGAAGCACTGGAAGTGGATAAGACACATTGAGAAAGGCACAAAACTGAGTCACGATGCAAGTCTCCACATGGAATCCTCAAGGCCAAAATAAAAGAGGAAGATCAAAGAACCCATTACGTCGAGAAATGAAGACAGACATGAGAAGAATGAACAAAGATTGGGTAGAACTAAAAAGGAAAGCTCACGACTAGGTGTTGGAGAATTCTGGTTGGCAGCCTATGCTCCATTGGGAGTAACAGGCGTAAGTAGGTAAATGACATTAGTTTTAATGGACTCACCTAGCTGAAGGCGCTCGGTCACGAATCCAAAGTAGATCATGAGTGAGAACGCCGCGCTCACATTCTCCTGTAATCGCTAGCCACTTTAGATCAGTCACTCCTCGATGTATTGATTAGCTATCAAATATATCTTCGAACCTCCTCGCTTCTGACTTCTGATTTTACTGGGAGGGCACGGTTCAATCATGGAAGGCGGTACTGGTTTAAGTATTGTCAAACTACGAATACCTATGGCATCTTCGATGATAAGCCGACGTTATCTCGTACACCAACTCGTGAACTGTGAATTTGTTCCCAGTTGGAACTTTATACCCCAATTTTTCACTTTAATTTTTGTATATTGCGATTTTTTGTATTTGTGGACTTTTCGTTTATTGCTATATTTTGTATTCGTCATGCCAGAACAGACTCTTCAATTATATAAGACAGTGGTATTGTTTCTCGTTGAGTTAATTAACTGTTTTGATCGTAAATTACGCATCAAAACTACTGTTTACACTTTAATTGCATCTACCCCGGTTAAAGTGATATTGTATTGAGTGTTTCGATTTTGCATATGTGTATTTGTTGCATCGAAGCATACTTGGTCTACTTTTAATTGATTTATTTGGCTGAGGTTTGAGAATCCTTTTACATATCCTATTTTTGTCACCGTTCTAGTTGGTTTTCAAGATGGCTAGACCTGCACATAAATGTGGACAACCATATTGCTTATTTCCCGTGGAGGAAGGGATGCAATGTGATGAGTGTAATAAGTGGTTCCATAAGATATGCACCCGATTAAGCCCCACTGCATATAAAAGGTGCTCGAAGCCCGACTCCCATTGGCTTTGTAGTTTTTGTTGCTCGAGCAAAACATTACTCATCCAGGAAGCAGTTAGCCTCCTGATGTTGGCTAATAAGAAGGTTGATGAGAGCCGTACTGGTAACATTGGTACTGATGGCGAAGATTGCGTTAGTGTCGTAAGCGCTGTCATGGCGCAAACTAGACATCTACCTGTGCAACCCGCAGTTAAACGTTCCCCCCCCCGAAACGATCAGTGTGTGACACCTCATTAGACGTTGGTGGCCATATTGCTTCAGCTGTGACTAGTGATCCAGATAAGACAATTACTGTCCCGAGTTGTTCTAATGTAGATGTTTCGACTGATGGAAAATGGATGACGCGAAAACGCAGTAGAGGAGGAAAGATAGCTAAAACTAATGACTGTTTACTTGGTAAGTCCTTGGTGGACTCACAGACCAATCCGCCAAAGCTCCAAAGTAAAGCTTCGTCTAACACTGTTGTGAGCCACTCGCTCGACTCACAGGACTCTGTTACAATAAAAGCCAATCGTAAGATACCAGTAGTTAATAAACAGGATCTATCGTCACGGTCGAAAGCTGTTAACACAATTTCAAAGGAAGCTAAACCCCTTCCTAGTTTAATTATTTGGAATCTAGAGGAGTCGAAAGATAACGACCCTGCTAGAAGACATGCACATGACCTGCAGTTAGTGGAGTCTGTGGTAAGAAATGTACTATTTGAAGAGGTTTGAGGGGTACATAATACAAAAGTAATACGACTTGGTAAGTGTGTTGGAGGCAAGACCTAACCAAGAAGAATCCGGAAGCTGGTTCTCGGGAGTTTCGAAGAACGAGACATATTATTGAAAAACGCACCATAAACTCGTGACTCAAATATCCGTATTCGACCAGATTGGCCGCTTGAGGATCGAATCAAGTGGAAGAATGCTCTTACGGAGTTGAGGACTCGCAAATTAAATGGCGAAAATAACCTTATCGGAATGTGTTTTGTGGAGATTTTTAGAAATTTTCACAGATTGAACTCATGAGTCAGTTGAAGCTAGACCACCATTGAAAACCTGGAAGCACTGGACGGCCGTTTCGTCCTAGTATGGGACTCCTCAGCAGTGCGCACCCACGACCCCGCACCACCCGGAGACACTTCTGGAGTTCTAGTGAGAAGTCGTTACCAGTGGAGTTCAACCAGGTCTGTTGTGAGATAGGAACTCACTGAAGACAATGGTGTACGGTAGCGCAACTTCGTGGATTGGTTGAAGTTAGACATTAACACCGTTGGATGCCGGCTCAGTGGTCTAATGGTTAAGTGCTCGCGCGCGAAGCCAGTAGGTCCTGGGTTCGAGCCCCGGGTGGTGCGGGGTCGTGGGTGCGCACTGCTGAGGAGTCCCATACTAGGACGAAACGGCCGTCCAGTGCTTCCAGGTTTTCAATGGTGGTCTAGCTTCAACTGACTCATGAGTTCAATCTGTGAAAATTTCTAAAAATCTCCACAAAACACATTCCGATAATAACAATCACCTGCTCACTAGTGACTGACTTCAGGAGACACTTCTGGAGTTCTAGTGAGAAGTCGTTACCAGTGGAGTTCAACCAGGTCTGTTGTGAGATAGGAACTCACTGAAGACAATGGTGTACGGTAGCGCAACTTCGTGGATTGGTTGAAGTTAGACATTAACACCGTTGGATGCCGGCTCAGTGGTCTAATGGTTAAGTGCTCGCGCGCGAAGCCAGTAGGTCCTGGGTTCGAGCCCCGGGTGGTGCGGGGTCGTGGGTGCGCACTGCTGAGGAGTCCCATACTAGGACGAAACGGCCGTCCAGTGCTTCCAGGTTTTCAATGGTGGTCTAGCT